CCATCATTGTTGTTTGGCGGGCCCGGGCTGGGGATTTGAACCCGCCACCTTAGGTGTATGTGGCTAGCGCCTTAGCCGCTTGAGCCACAGGCGCCGAGCCACAACCTCATTTTTAGATAGGTACTGTTATTATCCCTGCATTGCAGATAAAGAAATTGAACGTACATTATTATCCCTGTATTACAGATGAGCAGACTGGGTTAAGCTTCTTGCCCAAATTTATACATATTGAGTAAGTGGTAGAGCCCAGAGTCAAATGAAAACAGTGTGGCTATAGAACTTTGATTCATATATAGCTCTTACCCTATGTGTAAGATAAGAAACATTGAATGGAAACTGGTATACTGTGACTTAATTTTATAATTTTTTTTCCAGTTGGAAGGAATAATTTTTTCTCCCTCTTTAAACAAATTGCCAAAATTCTCACATAAATAAGTAATACATATAATTAATATACAAAAATAATAATCCTCCCTTTTCATGGTGATACTATATTAATTTTTTTTGTGTGTGTGTTTTTGGCCAGGGTTGGGTTTGAACCCACCGCCTTTGGTATGTGGGGCCGGCGCCCTACTCCTTGAGCCATAGGTGACCCCCTATATTAATTCCTTTATATGTCTTCCCCAGTGGTTTTAGCTGATAGTATACTATTTTAACTGAAACCACTTTACCCATTAAAATGTGTAAGATATCTGTAGATATTGGTCAGTTAGGTTACTATTCTTTTCTCTGAGTCGGTCCATATTTCCTTGGCCTGACTTGGGAGAGGTTTGAGGAAATTGGGGTATTTTTAAATTTTCCTTTGTCTTGTTTTGTTCTTTTGTGAAGAAAGTGTTTTGCCAAAAACTGAATTACATTTCTCTATTAACATGTATGGTAATAGAGATTGATTTTACTAAAACTTTATCTGATTCTATCCTGTTCTGATCCCTAAAAATCAAATTCTCATCTTTGTTTGCAGTTAGAAAAACTTTTAAACAAACTATATTTAAATAATATGTAATTGTTTCAGTGACTGAATTCTTTTGGCTCTCTCTAAAGCATATAGTAAAAAAGTGATAGTTAGTGGTTTACTAGTTAGTATGAAGAAACCATATTGTGGAGAAAGATCATTGTGATGACTAAATGAACATACTTTTTTTGGCGGAGGAGGGGAGAAGACAGAGGCTCACTGTGTTGCTATCCTGGAGTGCAGTAGCTCACTGCAACCTTGTACTCCTGAGCTTGAGTGATCCTTCTGCCTTAGCCTCTCAAGTAGATCGGATTATAGGCACTTGCCATCATGCTTGCCTAATTTTTTTCTATTGTTTGTAGAGATGGGAGTTTTGCTCTTCCCCAGGCTGTTCTCTAACTCCTGAATTCAAGGGATCCTCCTGCCTCTGCCTCCCAGAGTGCTAGAGTTATAAGTGTGAGCCACCAGACCTGGCCAAAACATGCTTTTTAAGGGACGAAAATAAACTGATTTTTAAGCTATTTATGGCCTAAAAGTAATAGTACGAATTTGCCATCTTTTTCTTTTAAAAACTTTTGTTGAAAAAAAATATACATGTATCTTGAGGCAGAGTTTCACTCTGTTGCCCCAGGCTTGAGTGCTGTGTTGTCACACTTCACAGCAACCTCAAACTCCTGGGCTCAAGCAATCCCCTTCTTGCTTTAGCCTCCTGAATAGCTGGGACTACAGCTATCCACTATGATGCCCAGCTAAGTTTTTTTTCAGTAGAGGCAGGATCCTGGTCTTGCCCAGGCTGATCTCTCCTGAGCTAAAGCAATCCATTGGCCTTGGCTTCCCAGAGTGCTAGGATTACAGGCATGAGCCACTGCACCTGGCCTTGGTGAAAATATTTTAATAAACTTTAAAACTTTAAAAATATTTTTTTGTCTCTCTTCTCTACCTGTAACCCCCCCCCACCCCCAACCCCATATAGTCTTGCAGAGAGATTTTTGTATGCTTGGTGCCCATTTTCCCAGGGAACCCACTTGGCCCTGAATGTATGAATGATTGTGACAGGCCCTTAAGCATATTTGACATTTCAGCAGCCTACCTAGTATTGCTTGTTGAGGGGCATTGTCTTTTTTTTGAAGTCTGTTTGTGGCATGTGATTAAAGCCAGTGTAGTGTTTCTGGATGTCCTCTGCAGGGATAAGATGGAGCAAAGGGTCTTGAAATCTCCACTTGAGTAATATTGGGCTTTTGTTGCTGTGCATGTTAAACAGAATGCTAGGTACAGATCTATAAATGAATGGCTCTTTGAAAAATAGGAAAAATAATACCTTATTGCTTGTTAGTGCCTGTTAGTATGTAAATGGAATGGAACACTTTATTTTGGTAGTGGGAACTTTTGGTTGGTCAGCCTGCATTGGCATATGAATATGACCAATAGTAGTTTGAGGACAATGATTCCAGAGCCTGATTGCCTGGGTTTGAATGAATCCTGGCTCTTCTACTTAATGGCTGTGTGACTTTGAGCAGTTTATTTTATCTCTTTGGGACTATTTCTTCATCTGTAAAATGTGGTTTTGTGATAGTATTTATCTTCTTAAAGTAGGTTGTTTAGAGTGTTAATTAAAAGTGTTAATCAAGTTAATGCACATGAGCTGCTCTGAACGTGGCCTGGAGTATACAGGGTGGACATAAAGTTCGTATAAAATTATGTTTAACATAGTAAATTGCACGTGAACTTTATGTCCGCCCTATATATTAAGCTCTCAATAAATGTTAGTTATTATTACATTTAAATGTATTGATGGAAATTGGAAGGTTGTATCAACTTTAGGCTGAAATAAAGGTGACAGTAGATTGTTAAACGCTAACAGAAGGGAATAACTTAGGATTACTACATACTTTGAAGATATAGCTCTATTCATTCTTTTATGACTTGTATATAATACATGCAGATTTGTCTTTGAACTCTTCCCTAGTTAGAGGCATGGAGGTACTAGCTATACCGAAATTATACCAGAGAACAAATTTCTGACATTCTCTTTTTTAAAACATTTTTTATTTTTTATTTTTATTTTTTATTAAATGATAACTATGTACGTTAATGCAATTCTGGGGTACAGTGTGGTATTTTCACATACAATTTGAAATATTTTCATCAAACTGGTTAACCTGACATTCTCTAGATTAGAAGAATCATTCTGAGTTTTTGAAAACTAGTATTGTATAAGAAAGCATCATAGGTAGCAGCATAGGCTTTGTAGTCAAGTTTTTGTTTGGATTTCTGCTGCACCTGGCAAGTCATTTAACCAGTTTTAACTTTAATTTTCTTATTTATAAATAAAATGGAAGTAATAACTACTTATCTATCTTATAAGGTTAATGTGAGAATTAAATGAGACAGTGCATATAAGAAATTTAGTACTGTGCCTGACCTAAAGTAAGTACTCTTTAAATTAATATTCAGTAATTACTTAGTAAAAGATTGTTACTTACTTAGACGTGATTTGTTCGTTTTCATTGTAACATGTCAGGTTTTAGACATACTTCTCATAATGAGATTTTCTTGTTCTTTTCAGTCGAAATCTTTTATCAACATTGCCAAAACATCTATTTGATCTTCCCCTTAAAGTTTTGGTCGTCAGTAATAATAAACTGGTATCCATTCCAGAAGAAATTGGGAAGCTAAAAGATTTAATGGAGTTGGTGAGTAAAATAGTTGTATTAATTAAATATGATATTCATAATATATTTGTATACTTTTGCATTTTGGAAGATTAACTCATTCCTTTATGGAATTTCACTTTAATTTTTGCAAAAGGAGTAATTTGGTACATGTCTAAATTTACTTTAGTAAAATTTGGAGATACTATTATTTATATCTAATTTTAGTTCTCAACCACAAGAGAAGGGTGTGGTTGTTCCTTAGTCTTTTGAAGTTAGATGGCTTGCTTACAAGCTTTAGTACTTTTTTAATGAATAAGCATTTGTTTAACCATTTTGTGGATAGTATAGGTCTTAGGGAAAAGTTAAGTTTTTTTTAAAAAAAAGATTTTACCAGGGCTAGATAGAGTCATAGAGAATGGGGATAACTGAAGAGAATACAATGCCTTCCAACAGTAGAATTAACAAAATAACTCTTCTACTACTGTATGCTGATGTGCTTTTATGATACTCTTGGGGCCAAGATAAATGGAAAAAGCTATTATATGCAATTGATTGTAGAAATACAGTGTAGAATAACTTAAAGTTAAATTGAACATAACATTTTAGGTGTTAAAGGACACTGAACTCTGAGAGAAACATAATTGGATTCTCAAAGCATTGAGCTATCTTCATATATGTTGCTACCCCTACTTTACAATACCATGCTGCTTATTTTTATTTTATCTTGTATAATGCTTTTTCAGTAAATAAGTATTTTGTAAAGTATTGTAAAATATGACTTTGTTATGACTGGATGGGCAAAGATTTTTCTCAAGGAACTGTTCTACAATTTTGTAATGGGAAACTGATGCAAATAGAATATAATGAAGAGAAAGTTCAGGAGTATCTTTTATTCATTAAGGAATATCCACATGTTTGATTATAATACAAGGAAACTTCCTTGAATTTTATCTTATGTTTTGGAACCATAGAATTTTGAGGTTATAAAAGATCTTAGACATGATTGTATCTAATCATGATGCGTCTACTTATATTAATATCTTTTCAATGGTGGGACAGCTCTTTTTGTGTGTGTCTGAGGCAGCCTAATTCTCTTGTAAATCTCTATTAGTTGGCTTGGCACCTGTGGCTCAAGCGGCTAAGGCGCCAGCCACATACACCTGAGCTGGCGGGTTCGAATCCAGCCTGGGCCCACCAAACAACAGTGACGGCTGCAACGAAAAAATAGCCGGGCGTTGTGGAGGGTGCCTGTGG